TGCAGATGTTACAACAAATTCTATCATAATTCAGGCCATACTTATTTTTAAAATCTGTGTCCATGGATGAGTGATGTTAAAATACTATTAATTCAGGTGACTGATCCACTCAACTTGCTGTACCTGAAATCCTCCCCGCCCAAAAAAGTGAAAAAACAACAATGAAACACACACACACACACACACAAATAAATTAATTAAAAACCTGGACTTAGAATATCCAATTACTTTAAGTTTACATTTCCCCAGAATTTGGAGCCATAATTAATCATACACTTGATCAAATTAATGCCACTTCAAGAACGTTTTAGAAATTGTCATCTCATATAAAGATACAGACATTATTACATATTTGTCTTCTCCAGCCAGGAACTGATATATACATATGTAATATTCATGAAAAATTCTTGTTAAACAGTGGAAATTAGAAAACAAAAAAGAAAGTAATTTTAAATCTAAGCGAAAGATGTGTAGAGGAAATAAAAAATGTGATGGTTTATTGAACAGAGGCTGATCTCTCTTTTTAGCAAATACATTAAGCACCTGCCGGAGGTAGTACCTTTAAAGACTTGACCTTTTTGTAGTGTTCATGACTCCAACATCAAAGCACTGCATATTAAAAAACTGATACTTTGCTTTCCAAAGATAACTTAGAAGGCTTTCGATAAAAAGCTAATTTTTACCTCCAAATGTGGATGCGGCATGTGTTTGCTAACAAAACAGAACCGGACTAGGTCATTATAGAAGTTAAGACTTCCCGGAGTAAAACATTTTTTCTTTAAATGATGACCTTGTCCAATTGCAAATTGTTCATCTTCCTTATAGTTTTGGGTCTGAGATCCACAAGTAATTACTAGCTGACAGCGGGCAATTTGTTTAAGGGCTAAGTGAAAGCCTGGGAGCTTTGTCCTAATAACTGCGTAACTGCTGTTTAACAGTAATTAAAAAAAAAAAAAAAAAAAAGGAATCAAGTCTTGAGCATCACATCTGCAAGAGCTCTATTGACTCACTGAAAGGTGTGTTAAGGAAACAAAAACAGAGCCATCTAAAGCGGAGAAGAATAGCACCACACACCCAGCTTGGGAACAATTGTTTTCCCGGGGCCTTCCCTCCAGCACCCGGGTCAAGCCCAGGGAAAGGGGGTGCCCTGGGCGCTCGGAGCCAGCCTGGGCGGAGACGGCGCTGGGGTTCGCAGGCCGACGCCGCCCCCGCCGAGCGGACCCTCACCTTCCCCCCCGCCCCGGGGCGCCCGCCGCTTCCCGCTCGGCCCCCGCAGCTGGTGCCCCTGAGCCTGCAAGACAGGAGTCGGGCGCCCGAGCTCCATCCACCCCCGCTTCGGCCTAGGAGCCCGGGCGACCCTTTTCCCGTAGCCGGTTTCAAAGCAAACAGGGGCCGAAGCGGGCGAAAACCGCCATAACCGCCACAGACCCGAGGCTGAGGCTGCGGGCGGGCCCACGCCCAGCTTTCCACACTCACCTGCCTCCCCCGGGGGCCCCCGCGCCGGCTCCCGCCGCCCCGCCGCCGCCGCCAGCTCCCGCTCCCGGCCGCAGCGCCATCTTGCTCCGGGCCTGCCGCCGCCGCCACCGTAAGAGCAGCTGTCAGGCGAAGACAGCCACTTCCGGGGCAAACGACTGGCCCTACCTCGCCGCGGACCGGCCGACGGGGCGGGGCCCGAGGCCCACGTGACCCCCGCGGCCGGGAGAGGGGCGGTGCGCTCTGCTCACGTGACCCGGCCGCCGCTAGGGGGTCCTCCAGGTGCAGTTCTGCTCCGAGGGAGCCAATTCATGAGACAAGGGTGTTCCGGGAGAACCCAGCTGGCAGCAAAGCTGCAAGGCGTCGTCATCCCTCGTTGGAAAAATCATAATCTCGGCCAGTGGGAAGAGCAGATTGAGTCCTGTTTTTTTTTTTAAACTAGATGGTGTGTTCTCTCATGGTTATTCTTTGCACACAAATAAAAGGATCCGGCGCTCTCCATTTCCTCCCTGAAACTCGGCAGCTTTCTTTTGATACCCACCCCCAAAGCTGAAGGTATTTGAAATTTATTTCAGTAAAACATCAAACCCTAAGCAACATATAAAACCTCCAGGGTGCATAACTCGTTTGGTTCTACCATCGTGCCACCCAGTAATCCATTTTCCCTACCCAGATATGCCTCACAGATATAGCGGTTGGGTCCACACCACTGCAGTAAAGAGTATGGCAATAAAATGAATCATACTCTTTTCGCTGGTGCAGGGTGTTGCCTTCAATTTATATTTTAAAAAAACCTCAACTGTGAAGACAGTTAAGCGTAGCACAATAAAAGGTGTGCCTGTGGAGAAACTGGTGTTTGGAAAGCAGTCCCTAATTACTAATACATCTGACCATATTTTTACCTTTTTTTCCCCTTAGTCAAACTACTAAAGTAAAATAAAGTCAAATGTAAACTTTTTTTAAGCCCTCAAGCATTTTGCTTATTAGCAAGTATTGGATTAATTATAATTATCTTTCACTCTTGCCTCAAGGCTTTTACAGGTACATAATTTGTAATGTTATCATTTATTGGGCATAAATCATTGGTCAGGAAATTCACTGTATTTTTTGAAATCCTCAATATCCCTAGGAGTTAGTAGTATTGGCATTTTACAGATAGGAAAACCAAGGTTAAAAGTTATAATTTACTTAAATCATACAGCTGCACAGCAGCAGGACCGGGATTCAAAACTTGGTGTTTGACTTCAAGAAGTCCTTGCTCATTTCACTAGAGCCAACTATTCAATTATCATGTATTTTTTTCCCATAAATTGCCTACTAATTTCATTCTTTGTGCAGGTTACTTCCAACTGACAAAGGTGTTAAATTCAGTATTGATCCATTGACAAAGGTGATTACAGGTTTATGTAACTAGCTTTTCAAGGATGGGTGGTTACACAGAAAGTACTGAAGAGGAAGTCAAATGAAAGTATGTCAAGGGTCACAGATGTGGTATCTGCCTGAATACTTGGTTTTCTTTTACCTATAGATCCTTATATCTGCAAGACTCAGCTCAGAATGTCAGCCTTCCATGACAATTTCAGTATGGGTTAGATGCCCTCCTGTGATTCCTTATGTCTAACATAGCATATGCCACACTATTTGTCCCTTTACTTTATCCCTAACCACTACACTGGAAGGCAGGGATTGTTATCAAGCCCTGTATTCTGAACCAAGTATGTTTAAGGAATATTGGTTGTGAATTTATAACTTTTGGCAGTGTTAGGTACTTCTAACCTTGAGACATAGTATTACCCCCAATTCCATAAATGAAAAGACTGAAGCTCTGAAAAATTAATGAACTTATTCAAAGTCATATAGCTGGCAAATGGGTGGCAGCAGTATACCTATCTTTAGAATATAGAATCGACCTGTTAGAACAAAGAAAATCACACCTGTATTTTTTGTACCTTGTAGTAATAGAGCTCCACTTACATAAATTCTGAAGAGGAACAATTTTTGTCCTTCTAAAAGATTCCAGTTGGGAACCTACCTGTACTGATTCTAGAGTAAAAGGCTAAGAATAAAGGAAATGCTTCTACTGGTCTTTCAACTCCTTCAGTCCTCCCTTTTCTGTGACAGCGGAAGTGGTTATAGGTCCACGTACCACGAACTACTGTTTTCATGCAAGAATCTGTACCAGATTCCACAGTTTATCTCATCTTGGTTTTGCCACAGGAGCAAGTGTACTTGGCTTGCTGGTTGATTTCAATTTTCTTCACCATTTTCTTGAGGGAGGTGCTATAATGGGTCCTGTAGTTAACCAGGATCTCGACCTTCTTGGTGTGTTTAGCCATGTGGCCACAAACTGGGTCAGAGCCTAGAGAGGACTGAAGGTGACTTTTTATTCCACTGTACAAATCTATCAACTAATGGTCAATAGTCTCCATCACTGTATAATCGTAATTCTTTACCTTTGACTGAGACCTGCTTACTAAATGAAGGGACATGAAGTCTCAGGAAAGGTAAGATGAAAGAGAATGCAGCCGTAGGTATATCAAGTAATAGGAACATTCTTCCTTATCAGGACAAAACTATCAGTTTTCAAGCAAAGTCAACTTGAATGGAAAGAGATAGGAAAAAGCATGGTTAAATGATGAAAAATTAAGAAAGGGAGAAGCTGGACAACAATATGGTGATTACCGGAGGGAAAGAGGGTAGGGGAAGGTAAGAGAGGGTAGAGGTGATAAATGGTGATGGAAGGAAATCTGACTTGGGGTAGTGAACACAATATAATATAGAGATGACATATTATAGAATTATACACCTGAAGCATATATAATTTTATTAACAAATGTCACTCCAATAAATTCCTTAAAAAATTAAAATAAAAAGGGATAGGCTGACCATATTTTGTAGTTGCAACATTAAGCAGGTAAAGTATGAGCTACCTTACCAATGACATATAAGAATATTTAATAGACCAAGGAATTTAAAATCCTAGAAAACTTGAAAACCAGCCACAGAAAAGGCATCTTTTGTTATGGTTTACACCATAAAAGGCCATCAAGAATAGTAAAATATAGAGCAGTAGCTTTCTTCTTGTTAGATATTGTGTCCATTCAAAAACAGAAACAGACTGAGGTTGGGGGAGAGAGACCAGGGACATTCAATCTCCAGACTTTACTTTGAACATTTGGTTCAAATGTCTCTCTACAGCACACATCATACCTTCCTTCACACTTGAAGGCAAAAGTCCTTACACATTCCCCACGTTTGGGTATTTCATTTGTAGCTTTTTGTTCTTCTATAAGAAGTATCTCTCTGGAGCCAAACCACAGAAATGTCAATGAATGTGATTTTCATTGTGTAATCATTTAAAAGTTTGACATGATGCACTGAAAGTTCATGATCATTTTTCACCAGAGCCATGTTCTTGTAGTTGACTACAAATGACTTTAAGACGAAGTATTCCATGTAAACAACATTCATGTTTCGATCATAAAATGATGTTTCTGATACAGCTTTAAAAAAATTTTTTTTTTTTTTTAGCTTTTGTCTTCAAGAGATACTTTCTTCTTGCTGTTCTGATCGGTGACCTTTTTCCTGTGACAAGAAATGTAAGAAAAGCTGAATCAGAAATTCTAGCTATATGTACTTTCCCAAAGTCTTCCAGTTTAATAAACATTGACTGAAACCTGTATAATCAAATATATGAGACACTGGGAACACAAAGATGCATTAGGTCAGCGGTAACCAACCTTTCAGACGTCACGGACCACCAGTGGCCCACAGACTACCAGTTGGCAACTGCTGCATTAAGTCATTGCCCTTTAGAAAACCACAATCACCTAAGTGAGACAGAAACTATAATACAATAAACTATACTACACTACAATCCTATATAATAAAAGTGTATTATGCAAATTGACCAAACCATGGAATGACCAGTCACTATGATGTGCACTGACCACCAGGGGGTAGACACTCAATGCAGGAGCTGCCCCCTGGGGGTCAGTTTGTGCAGCGGCAGTGGCAGGAACCTCCCCTGCCTTGGCTGCAGGCGGGTGGTTAAGGAGCGAGCAATCCCAGTCTGCAAGAGCCCTGGACTGTGAAAGGGATGTCTGACTGCCAGCTTAGGCCCATTCCACCCCCCTCAACAGTGTACAAATCTTGTGCACCAGGCCTTCAGTATGGTATAAAAGATAGATTCTGATCCTGGCCTAATAGTAAGAGTTCACATTAAGTGCTATTACTGTGATAAGTGCCTTAAATGTTATCATCTTGGATAATCTTCCTAATTAATGAAGAAATTATCTTATCCTCATTTTATAGATGAGGAAAATTAAGCAGAGTGGTTGGACAACTTGCTGACCATCACACACTGGTAATAAATATTAGACATGAACCCCAACAGTCTGATTTTAGAGTCTGGTGAATGCCATCAACTAAATATTAGCACAGGAAAAGGAAGTAAGTTTTGAGAAAATGATCAATGGTATAGTAATACCATATCATGATATAGTAATGCAAAGTTCTCAGATGTATATTAACGCTTTTAATCCTCAGCAAATCCCAAGTGGCAGATTTTGTATTATTTTCAGGTTGAGAAGAAGGGATTAAAGATATGATGGAAGCATTATCAGCATAGAGGTATTAACTGAGGCTACCAGTGTGGATAACATCAATAAAGGAACTTCTACATTGAAAAACTTAGATCAGTTCTTGCTTGTGGGCTATGTTAAGAAGTATGGCTCTTCCTCTCAGGAGCACACAAGCACTTTTCCTTCTCCCTCTTCCTCCCCTACCATTAACTTTGCTTTTCTCTCCTAAGCACCAAGAGCCCTTCTTTAGCCTTTGTAACTGGTTTCTTGAACATACGCAGCCCAGCTGGTTCACTTCTACTACTTCTGTTTAACTTTTTAAATTAACTTTTTCTTTTGAGAAAAAAAATTAAAAAGTATAGCCTTTAATTTATTGTAAAGAAAGTGAAAAAAGCATCTTAAGTGTCTAAAGTGACATTTATACTGAGTGTCCTCAAAATCTTAGTGCATCTTTAAGTTTTAATAACTTCAAAAGTAAGAATGTTACAAAGTGACAAAATCAACATTATTGTGTCTTATTTGTTTCTTATTAAAATCATCATAGTCACCATCTTATGCTCTAAATTAATTTTCAACCATTATAAAAACTTTCATCAACTGCTGCTCAGTGTCTAAAATTGCACTTGCAATCCTAACTTTAATCTCACCCAAAGAACAAGTTTCTAATGCCCTCTAAAAAAAAAAGTCTAACGAGATTAAGTGGCCAAAAAAAAAGTCTGAGACACGTTAGGTTGGCCAAGTAGAGTGACCTTCTCTATCAGTCCACTATTCTAAATGTCACCCAGAAATTGCTGCCACAAAAAATTAAAATAAAAAACCTATTAAGACCTCAGAAAACTAAGTACAAGTTAAGAAGATTATTCTTCTCAAGGGATTAAAGCTTAAAACTCACTGAAACACTGTACTCTCTATATACCTGAACTGAACATCATCCCCACAATCGATGCAAAATGTCAGGTAAGATTCTTGTTCCACTTAGAAGGAAAGTATATTCCAGTGTTCATGTTTCTGTTCACTTTGTTCCTTCTATATATCTAAATTTCCCTTCCTTAAAGATCGTATACTTCCTTGAAACTTTGTGGAACTATACTAATCCACTACAAATTTCCCTTCTTAAATAAAATTCCCCTATTTTATTTAAACTTTATTCTCTATTTTTTCCCCCTGCATAATAGCTTCAGAAATAACTCTCATTGTATAATCATTTGTATAAACTACCACCATTAAGTACCAGCAGGACAATAGATACAGTAAATGTGTACATTTCATATATATTATATATTAACAGGTACTAGTAGAATTTGAAGAGTATTATTTTCCATAAATAGTGACAATACTAGTATTGTTCATAATATATTAGCCTACTCCTATCAAAATATGTTGCTTCCTAGCAATCCTGTGTGTGTGCTAAAAAAAAAAACCCTCATATACTTAAAACTCATTCAACATAGCCATATTACTTACAAATTTAACCAAAAGTCATACTTTTTATAGGTGTTAAAATGTGCTTCAGTATTTATATGAAATTTATATGAAAACCTGCCCAGAATAGAGCTTCAAGGAAGACTCCATCATTGTGAGCCCTAACTATTGGCCTCAGCAGCATGTCCTCATGCAAGTTGGGTGGAGATGGTGGGCAATTCTAATCTATAGTAAATTGAAATCATGTTTTCAGAAGTGGAAAAAAATAGATCCAAGACTAAATCATCCAAGCTCCCAAATCATTCCTCCAACCTAAGATATATTACTTTAATTACAATCTGTAACAGCCTGTAAACCTGTTAATTCTACCTCTAAAAAGCTTATCCTGAGGAAAAATAATGCCTACTATAACTATATGACGGAAACAACCAGTTAATTTTCTCACCATATACTTACCGTTTATCCTTAGTCTTTTCCAAGAAGTATTTTGGAGTTGTACTAATGCTCTCCCTTTGTAATGGCTTCTTAATCAACTTTTTCTTTTGTTTGCTAAAAGAGAGGAAAGAATTAAATGAAGTATAACTTAATTTAAAAGTTAAAGCTAAAACTAATTTTGATTCATCACAAAATTCATTTTTATCTGCTCACTGATTATCCATACTTGTATCCACTTTACATATTAGATTATCTAATAGGATTACAGAGGTAACCCAAAGGGATGGTAAATTCAATCGATTTTAAAGGCAGTGATTATGGCTAAAATATGTCCCATGCCAGCCTTATATTCTGTGTCAATAAGCATTAGAGTGTGATTTTGTCCAATTAACTGCTTTCTACCAGTTTTATAAACTAAAACAAAATCCAAATATATTTTACTCATATTGAATATTTTTTTAATCTGAATACTTAAAATTTCAAGGATGAGAAAACTAGCAAGGTTTAAAAAACATACAGTATTCACAAAAATTTACAAGGAAAATTTTTATCTTAAAATGTTCTAAAAGTAATAGTATTATTAAAACTATGTGTAAGAATGTGAAAGCACGAATGTATATGCAAAGACAGAGAGAAAGAGAGGAGTCTGGTAAATTAAAAACTGTACCTTAGTAGTTTTTGGAAACCTTTTATGTAATCTGGAACAGGACATCCGGCCTGCTGTATAACATTGGCAACGCTGAAAAAGGTACCCATTAACATAAATTTGTATCTTATCAAACTGATGTTTATGAACTTGCACCCTCTGCACAATACAAGAGGAACTAAAACTACACAAGCAAGAAAGTAACCCAGTATTTTAATATATTATCACTTAGCATCAGATGTAATCACGTTGGATTACTAACAGAATGATTGATGCATAATTTTAGACAGCAGCTATTTCTGCTCAACATTTATTTTAGCAAGCCTTAAAAAACCTCTAAGTTCAACCTTGGATGAGAAACTGAAGCCAGAGACAAGCTCACCAGGTAAATCTATTAAATGATAGTATTTACTATGCATTTGGCATTGTCTTAAGTTTTTTATGTAGAGTAACTTACTCAATCTTCACAACAACCCTTTGTAGTATTATCATTATCCTCATTTCTCAGATGAAAAATGTAGGTGCATAGTTACACTGATATGGGGGATCATCAAATTCACATGCTTGGAGTTGCTGAGGAAACTTGAGGTGAATCTAGGCAGTTGGAATACATACTGCCCTACACATGCACATGCAAGTCTGCTCAAAGAAAAACCTAGGCTGACAGAGCCACAGCTCAGAAAGCACAGATCAAAATCTTTGCCAAAACAGATAAACTCAAAGTACAAAAAGCTACAACTCTATTTTATTTTATTTAGAGAAAGTGAAAGAGAGAGAGAACAACAGAGAAATATCGATGTGAGGGAACACATCGATTGGTTGCCTCCAACCAGGCCCAGGCTGGGGAGGAGCCTGTAACCAAGGTACTTGCCCCTGACTGGAATTGAACCTGGGACCCTTTAGTCCTCAGGCAAATGCTTTATCCACTCAGCCAAACCAACTAGGGCCACAACTCAATTTCAACTGTTAGAAATGTGATGTGTTACCGATTATCATCAGGCTAAATTTTCTGCAGGCAACCAAAATGTAGGAAACTTCTATATTAGTATCTATGATGATAGACTAAATTAAAACCCATGATACTAATATATCTATCAGACGTTACTCAAGAGGCTACAATTGAATAATATTGGAGTATGCTCCTGGTACTAATTATAAAATTCCATCTGTCCTTAAGAATAATGGGAAGGATGCATTATATCGATAGTAAGAATCTTGATGGGGCTAAAGAGACCTGGGTTAATTTTAAACTATTACTCATTCAAAAACCATAATATTATATTGTCTTAACTGGTGGCTATTGGGAGAATTCTGAGTTATTAGAATTTTGGAATATTTATTGTTATTAACAAATAATCAAAAGGCAAAAATAAAGCCTTTTGTTCACTTTTCCTTTTCTCGTTGCTAAAATTTAGTTGACTACGATAGCAGAATTTTGGACAAAGATATTTTGTAATTATCTGTTAACTATGTATACATATAAGAATAATGAATCAATGTTGCCAATTTAACACAGTTATTTTTCCTAACTTACCTTCTTAATAATGGTTTATCATCTTCAGTGAAAAATGTAACAGCTTTTCCTTTATGCCCTGCTCTTCCAGTTCGACCTAAGAAAAACCAGACCATTAAAAAACACTTTTTTGGGGAAAGGAGACATTTAAGATTCACATATAAAAGTGGACTTTTCATAGCCCTAAAAATCTGATCATGTTTGTAGGGAATAGCACAGGTGCTAAAATGGATGAGTGTGGAGGCAGGAGACAACTCACCTATCCTATGGATATATTCCACTGAGCTTGTTGGAAAGTCATAGTTGATCACCAAGTTCACACCTTTAAAATCAATCCCTCTGGCTAGCAAAGCTGTACAAATAAGGACCCAGATTTTTCCTGCTCGGAAGCTTTGGACTGTGTTATCTCTCTGGTTAATAGAACATACAGTAAATGTTTTAGCACCACTCTAGGAATGGAAAACATTTAAAAAATTTAATTATCATTTTGAGAGTATACATCTGACTTTACCTGTTCCTGTGTTCTGTCTGCATGAATAACATCCACATTAATACCTTCATATATGAGCTCATGAAAAAGTTCTTTAGCCCTTTCAATGGACTGAACAAAAACAAGAACTGGTGGATTGAAACCCTAAAAAGAAATGCAATAATCAGTACACATAACCCATAATTAAGAATATAATCACAGTATTTTATACGATTTTAGTTCATAAAAGAATCCAATTCAATTTAGTGCTTTCATTGCCAAATTTCTAGGACATGGTCTAATCTGCCTACTCTCCTCATCCCTTCTCTATAATGGGTTCTTTCCACAACCTGAACTGTACTCTCCATCTTGAAAATTCCAATGACCTTGTTTAATTAATCCCCTTTACCTTTCTACACAATGGATTCCCACTGCTTGAAATAATAATCTCTCGGCCTCTGTGCCTCAGAACTTTTTTGTTTCTAGTTTAAATGTAATGACTGTGTTTTTAGTTCATTATCTATCCTAACTGTGGGTATTCCCCCAAAGCTTAGTTCTTGATTCTCAGTTCTCTCAATAAAATATTTATCTTATTAAAGTCTCAGTTATAAACTATCAGCTTTAAGCAAATGATTTTTACATTTATATCACACCCTGCCTCTCTCTAAAATCAATTTTGTATATTTTCAACTGTCTATATTAGGGCTTAATCTTTTTATTTTGGTTCATACACCTTTCAGAATCTAATGAAGGCAATGAAACTTTCTAACAGGCAACCCATACATTTACACAAAATTTAACATATAATTTCAGAACGTTCACAAATCTAATATATAATCCTATGTATCTGTGAAAATCGTGTATTTCCTATAGCTAAATGATACCCTTAAGAATATTTTTAAAACTACACATAGCATTTATAATTTGCCAACCACTATTATAAGTACTATATGTGTATTAACTCATTAATACTGAAACAACTGATAAGAGGTAGATATTATTACCCCCATTTTACAGATGAGGAAACTGTGGAACGGAGGTTAATTTGCCTAAATCTAGGATTTCAACCCAGGTAGTCTAGCTTCAGAGTGAATGTTCTTAACACTCCTGTTGTCATCAGATACTTGCAAACACCTTTCCTGTTCATCCTCCAACTACTGTTAACCCTCCACTAAGCCTCTCTCCTTCATTTATTTCCTCCTTATGTCTAACCAGCCTAACTTAATAGCCTGCTAATTGGTTTCTCTTCTTTCAGTCTCTTTTCTTATCATCCATCTTATATACCACTATTTAATTTTCCTTAAAAATTATGTGGCCACACTCTTCAATAATGTTCAGTGGTTTTTCTTAACTTGACCTTAACCTCCTGTCCAAACTGATTGTCTTTAATTCCACTATAAAGGTTCTCCTTAGGTAACTTCTTCATTGTCTACAAACACATTCAATGTGTTCAGCTTCACCTCTGAGGCTTTATGACAGCTGCTCCTCCTGCCACTAATACTTTACTTTTTAACCCCACAAATCCTTCAAGGCCCAAATTAGTAGCATTTCCCCCCAATCAATTCAATCCACCCTTAAGGCCCCATTATAACTATATGAATGGTTAAGAAAAGCACTCTATAGCCTTCTATGGCACTTTATCACAAACTATTTTACACAAGTGCCTTTATTTTAGCTCCTAAAGACGACTAAATTCTATGGGCAGAGCTTAGGATTTATGTATATTTCAAGCCTCCCCCCAACCCTTCAGTATGTAGTCTTTAACTATGACTTTTATTCAATATACACTGAGTGGCCAGATTATTATGATCTTTGAATGCATAATAATCTGGCCACTCAATGGATAGATAGATATGGATATAGATATATAAAAATATATATAGATATATATTAGAGGCTCAGTGCATGAATTCGTGCATGGGTGGGGTCCGGCCAGCCTGGCGAAGGGGAGGGGACAAAGGCGATTGGCCGGCCTGCATGCTGGTCAAACTCCTGGTTGAGGGGACAATTTATATATTAGCCTTTTATTATATAGGATATACACTGAATGGCCAGATTATTATGCGTTGAGATCATAATAATCTGGCCACTCAGTGTATACTGAAGGGATACCAACATAAAATTGTCTTACTCATTTTACAATGCCCCAGTTCAATAAGAAAGCAGCAGAGGGACTGGAGAGGAGGGGGGAAGGGATAAGGGGAACAAGAGATGCAGGGAGCAGATACATATGCAAATGTGGGAAAAGGCTTTCAGGTCATCAGGTAGGTCTTTTCCTAGCTTACCCTGAGCTGGAATAGAAAGCTTACTATATTTGAACAGTGAAACCTTTCCACCTTGGGAGAAGAGCTAGCCCAAAGTGCTTGACAATTTACCATTGGATTAGTAAATATGATATAAGTACAGTGCTCAGCATCCCACTAATAACATAAAGCTTAGTGAACTTTATCAAAATGTTTATTTGGAAATATACCTTTTTAATAAGTTCTCTCATGGCTAGAAGTTTTCCCGTTTCAGATCCAACAAAGAGAAGTTCTTGCTCTACTGTCTCTACTGCAGAATTCCTGAGAAGAAAACATACCTCACAGTTTGCAAGAGCCAATTTTTGCTTCCTTCCACCCCAAATTCCAAGTAAATGAAACACGCCCCCTCCCCCCCCCAAAAAAACACAAAAAAACCCCCTGGAATAATGCAGAACAATTACCTTGCTCCAATGGACACAGTAATGACATTGTCCAGGTTGAGTTTGCACCACTGCTCAACATCATATGCAAAAGTTGCACTGAACATAGCTCTTCTGACCTTGTGGGATGTGCAAGCCAGGAAAATAGAAGCCAGCTGGTCTCTGAACCCAGTTTTGCCATCTTCAAATAGTTTATCTGATTCGTCTACTACCAACCATTCAACACTAAGAAATAACAAAACAACTTGTGGGTATTAAACTAGAAGATCCAAGACATTTCACTAAATTGTGGGGACACATGAAGAAGTCAAACCATAATGCTGCTTCTCAGACCCACATATCATTGTCACAAAAAGGTACAAGAAAAACAAGCAGAGAAAGTAAAGTTAGATAAAGATAAATTAATGTAACTATGCCATTAGCCTCCAAGATATGAAGTTCCATTAGCAAAAAACAGAGATTCCCATAAATCTTATAAACTCTATCACCACTGCTGAAAATCTAGGGGAATTCTGTGCTAACTGCTTATCAAAATCTGTGACTTTCTTCCGGACAAGATAGTTATTTTCCTGTGAGTTTAATGAACACCATTATTCTCAGCACCAACATTTACTGAAAGCTGGTAAGTCATAAGCTCGACAGGGCAACAATACAAGCAATTGAGGACAAAATATAATCAACTAAAAGAAAAGCACATGTAAAAGACATTATCATCTGTACCTTGTTAAGTCTATTCCTGGAGGATCTCGTTTTAATAAATAGATTAGTCGATTTGGAGTAGTTACAAGAATATCTACAGGAGAAACAAATGGTACAAATTGCAAAGACAAGTTTCATCCCTCTTGAACCAGAAAACTAAGGCTCCTGAATTTTCAGTTAATAACCTGAAGTGGGGAGAGGAGGCAGTGGTCATACTCATACCATCACAAAAGTTTTTCCGTCAGTAAGCTAAGGTATGGATTTTATTTTATTTTTCAAATTTAATAAATCTTTATTGCTCAGATTATTACAATGGTTTCCCCTCCCCCCCCATAGCTCCCTTCCACCACGTTGTTTGTTTTTTTTAAATCCATCCTAGCACAAACTAGTATATCCCTTCTGTATTATTATATTTGATCTACAAACACTATAATCCAACAGCTTGATTTTCAAACATTTTATTCAAGGAAAATTCTTTTCTATCATTTTTTCAATCCTACCCGAGCATATGTTTTTATTGATAACAGAGAGAGAAAGGGAGAGAAACATCAATTAGTTGTCTCCCATACGCACCCTGACCAGGTATCCTATCTGCAACTTGGGTATGCAGATAGGAAATGGAACCCAAGATCTTTTAGTGTACGGGATGATGCCCCAACAAACTGAGCCATACTAGACAGGCCAGGAAAATCCTTCTTTAAACGAAATTTTACTCAGAAGCTCAAGATACAAGACAGGTAAAAAGTAGATTCTCTGATTGATGTAAGGGTAGGGATGTAAGCTATTCTTGTCGACTGAGTATTTCCATGCAATTAGTATAGAGGAGGATTTCTCAACCTCAGCACATTGACATTTTGGACCAGAAAACTCTTTTGTTGTAGGGGCCCATCTTGTACATTGCAGGATGTTTAACAGCATCCCTAGCTTGTGCCCACTACAGATTAGTAGCACCCTGCCCCAGGTGTGACAATTTAAAATGTCTCCAGATATTGCCAAATATCCCTGAAGGATGAGGTGGGGTGGAGGGTAAAATGCCTTTGGAGAGAAGCACTAGCATATATTTATATAATTACTAGATGGGAGCAGGAAGATCTCTTTTAGCTTCTCTAAAAATCAAATTATATGTATGACTATACTTTAAGAGCTCTTAGGTGTCAATAAGGATATTTGTAATTTCTAAATCCTCTTCATACTCTACATCTCAAGCACGAATCCCTTACCAAACTTCTTAGATGATTTTGATCCAAATTTCTTGGCTGCAATTGCTGCTTTGTGGATCATGTGTATTCTGAATCCCATTCCCTCAGATATTTTTACCAACTCTCGGTGAGTCTAAAACAAAAAATGATAAAAACATCATCTTCTAAAATACTTGAATAAGATGTATAATTTCATTTACATTATTAAAAAAATAGATCCTTTACAACTCCACAAATACCTTAAATTTAATCTGTAATAATGTGTAGATTAACCTGAAATCTCAGCAGTTTGGGACTTCAATGCCTAATAATTCAGTAATTTCTTCAGGTCTAATAAACGATTTTCAACAGAAAAAAAACCCCAAAACTCATCCAATCTGTTATTCATTGTTTTTAGAATATACTACTATTATAAAAATATTTCATACTTGGCATGCATTTCACAGTAAGCACATGGAGGGTGAAGCATGACTGTCTAGTTTTACTTTCTCAAAAACTTAGATGAGTTTTCATTTTTCTAGGTGAGAAAAATAAATTTTAGAGTGACTGTATATTATAATAGCCTTTCAACTTCAAGGATCTTAGAGCACTCACCAAAGAAGTACAAATATTAATATTGTGTTTTAGAAAATATTTCCCCATATGCAGTAAGATACAGAAATGGGCTCTGTACAGAATACCTGAACTGACAAAAGACACAGGCTTTACTCTTTTGAGACCTTTCTATTACCCCAAATAAGAAAGATAACTAACCAAACACCAAAACACATCCTCTTCAGAAGCGAGAGGTCATACCTGGCTGGCAAGTTCTCGTGTTGGTGATATAATCAGGGCTCTGAAGCCTTTATTTGTGGGTTGTTTCAGTTGCATTAAAATGGGAATGCTAAAAGCCAAAGTCTTTCCAGAACCAGTAGGAGCAGAAGCCAGAAGTTCTCGACCCTAAAAACAGAGTATATTAAATTAACCAGGTGATCAAGTAATGCTCTCAGCCATACAAATAATAAAAATATGTGATAAATCTAGTAATTCATGTTCTCATCATTCTTCTAACTTTTCTTATATTTGCTTTTCTAACATTATCCACCCTGCCACTACCACCACAATGGAGTTTCTGAGCACTGCCATTGACATCCATTTGAACTGAGTAAAGAATGTGGATAACTAAAATCCAAAGGTAATTTTCAACCCCAATTATTTCCATTAGTTCAATTATACTTTCCCATTAAACTCTTTATCAATGCAAAATTACAAAACCAACATTTTGTGCTGATATCTGTACTCCTCAATCCCTAGGGAAGGTTTTAATAAGTAACAAAATGGCTGAAAGAAAAAGTGGCCATAACCTGAGTGACAGAGCATTTAACAGGTGACAATCTTCAGTAAGTCACTGTGATTTTTAAAGCTTTAAGCTAAAACCATGACAGAAATAATCTTAAATGAAAATTAAAAGCAAAGTTACTTTGAATCAACAACATAATTCAAATATATTTTCATTTCAGTTTTCAGAGAAAATGAAAAGGACACCAGTATGGTGTCCTATAACTACCAGAAATGAAGGCCATCTTGGTTTTGTAGGGGGAAAAGGTAGCTATCGTCACTACCAAAAGAAACCTTAGAAAAACTTAATTTCCAAAAATCTAGGTTAATCCATACATCAATAGGTGGATATGCAAATTGTGATACATTCATACAACAGATTATACTCAGTAACAAACTACTGATATATGTAACATGGATGAGTCTCAAAAACAGTATGCAAAGTGAGAGAAACCAGAAATGAAATAATGATTCTACTTATATGGCATGCTAGAAGAAGCAAATCTAATATATGGCAATAGCATTCAGAACAGTGGTTACCTCCCAGCAGGGGTGGAGTGAGGACAGAATGGAAAGAGCACAAGAGAATTTTCTGGCGATAAAAATGTTACATCTCTTCATTGGGGTGATGGCTACATATGGTATGTATCATTGAAACTCACTAAACTGTACACTTAACTATATATTTTATTGTATATAAAGTACACTTCAATAATAAAAAAGTATTGAGGAAAAAACAGTCAGGTTAGTACAAAAATTCTGTATTTCTGAAATAGTTCCTGGAAATTATAAACTAAATCATGGATGAATAAACAGAACATAGTCTCTCAGAGTGTTTACACTATAGTAAAAGGAAAACGATAAATATAATTAGAGCAAAAACACAGTAGTGAGAAGTATAAGACAAATTTGCAAGAAAAACAACACACTAAGTACCATGGAGACTTGGGTGACAGGGGAGCAATGGTAAATGAAAAAGATCTCGCCTAGCTGTACTGATCAAGACAAGTTTTCAAAAGCACAGGCATTAGAGATGGACCTTAAAAGCAAGGTACAGATTTCAACAGGGGGAGGAATAAGGAAGAAAGGAAGATTTCAAAAAACAGAGAAAAGAGAATAAGCAAACGCAGGAATGTCAGAGGCATTCTAGACCTTCACACTCACATGCAGCATAACTGGAATGGCTTGCATTTGGATTGGTGTAGGTGTCTGGAAACCTGAATCAAGAATGTTCTGAAGCAGTCGAGAATTGATTTTATATTCTAGTTCAAGTTGCTGAAATGTAGCAATTGGGTCAGGAAGATCTGTTCCTTGGATGTGAATTTTGTGTTTATTCCGCAAGAAATTTATCTGAAAAATACAGTAAAGGAGCCACCATGGATATGGTAAAAAATATTGTCAGATGTTATAAAGCAAGTCTAGGATAAGTTTTAGTAGAATATGAAACACTTTGCTTTAATCTTTCATTAAAGTAAAACTCAAATTAATCTTCTATCTTAACAAAACCAAACTCACTTTTACCAACAGAGTAACCCAAGGACAGTTAAAAAAGTCACTAAGTAAGAAATTGGGGCTAAGATATTTTTCTAACCTTTTCTTTTCTGATATGCTCCAACTTTCCTGAAGTTAGTTTATTTTCTTTTTTAACCTTTTTATCTTCAATTTTTGCTTCCACAGATGATATCCACTGTATGGTAGGACCTTCTTCTTCTGAAGTAATTTCTAAAATAATTTTTAATAAATTAAAAGATTTTAAGTGCGACATGCTAGAGTATAGCAAACAGGCCACACCTTCACACAAAGACAGTACTTGTTGCAATTAGATAAAAGAAAGTATAGAAACTGGAAAGGAGAGGCAGGTTCTATACTGACAAAGCCAGAGCTCTGACGCTCATTCTCTTCCTTTTGTTAGTTACTTCAGCTGTGTAATATGTAGATGAGCTACACTCGAAAACAAGAGATTAGTTGGGAAACTACTTAAACAAAAAGAGGTTTCAATGAGGCAGCCAGCTTTTTTTAATGCAAACACTAACCAGATAGAAAATAAGGTGAAAGAAAATAATTCACTTATAATAGCAATGAACGCAACACAGGGCTTAAGGATTACTCAATAGAATAAAGATAGCAGTTCTCACTAAATCTATAAATAACATTAGTTTAATGAAAAGCAATGACAGCACTGTTTTGGTAACTGGACTGGCTAACTTGGAAGTTTATACGGGAAAATAAATATGTAAAATAACCTAAAAATGCTAAGAAAAGCAATGAGCAAGAAAATTTTTTCAACTTCACTGAGGTAAAATAGACATACAGTAAATTTAAAGCACACAATTTGAGGAATTTTGACATATGTACACATGTGATAAAACATCCACATCCAAGGTTATTTTACATCACCTCCCCAAATTTCCTTGTGGTTTCTTGTAATGCATTGCTCCATCCTTAGGCAACTACCCCTTTGCTTTCTGTAAACTGTAAACTAGTTTGCTTTGCGTGGAATTTTATGTAATTAAATCAGGTAGTATGTACTATATTTAATCTGGCTTCTTTCACTCAGAATAGTTATTTGGAGATCCATGTTGAAGCATGTATCAATCGTTTTTAAATTTTTATTTATAGGTAGCATTTTATCATATGGATATCTTTCCCCTATTGAACAGCATTTTGATAATTTTCAGTTATTACAAATAAAGTCACTATGAGCATCTGTATTTCTCTGATTGGCGGTATAGTATAGTTATTTGTGAGGGCAAAGGTTGTCCTTTCTTTGGGTAAATTCTAGGAGTGAAACAGGTGGGTCAAATGGGAGATGCATGTTTAACTTTAAAAAAAATGGGAGGGGGGTTTTGTCAATTTTTACCAATAAAAACTACTAATATTTTAATTTGGTTTGCACTGATAGAACACGTTAGAGAGGAAATATTCAGTTGCCTAATCAATAAACATGGTGTGCCACACCACTCAACCAAATTTTGTAAAGCATTATAAGGCCATAATAATTAAAATAAGCTAGTAGTGATGTATGAATACAGAAATATAAATCAATGAAATAGAATAGAGCCCAAAGATAGACCCAAATATATTAGCCCCCCTCCCCCACTTATCCACAGGGTCCCCAGTGGATGTTTGAATTTTTCAACTTAATATTATATATTGGGACTGTGGTTGACTACAGGTAACTGAAACAGCACAAAGAAAAACCACAGATAAGGGGGACGACTGCATATGGAAAATACGTTAACAATAAAAGCTGCATTTAAATCTTTAGTGTAGCAATATTTGTAATAAATACCTGGAAAGACCTGAGTGCCATCAACTGATAAATGACTGCATATTACTTGAGTTGTACCATAAGCTTATACTATTTTCATAACTGGAAAAAAATTAAAAAGACAGAAACCAAGGACTAACCTGAAGCCATTCTCTTCCTCTTTTTCTTGTTCGGCTCCCTCTTCCTTTCAGTTAGGCTCTCTTCTTTTTTCGCTTCGTTTTGGAGCTCCTGGTTAGTTCTTGATTCTCCACGTTCACCTGGGACAGACTTCTTGTTTCCAAAAAAGTCCAATCCCTGCAGCACCTCCGAAGAATCAAAGTCATATTTCCTTTTTCCTACCTAAACACAAAACATTTAAAGTGAAACCCACAGAATGGCATTCCTTTCACCCAAACAGTAGTAGCAGTAAGGAGATGGGTCCAATGACTCCCCATCTTTATTACACTTTCACCAAATATCTGTTACACTGATAAATGTGTTTGGGCAAATGAAATCCAAGATTGTACCTTTTCTGACTTTATAACAGTAATAATAACCAATAGCAACCAACACTAGCATAATACTTGTATGCTGTTAGGCAGATTTCTAAACATGTTTATATATAATATTAAGTTACATTCTTCAACAACCCTATGAGTAAATAGCAACATTACAAATGAGAAAACCGTGGCATTAGGTTACTTGATTTGGACCCAAATAATATAGCTCCAGAGTTTAAACTCTTAATAACTACACTATACCGCCAGTCAGAGAAATAAGAAACACACGTGTCCCACACGCACACAAATGTCCTTAGTCCCAATATCAAGATTTTCCACGATTTCCCGATTTATCACTCATTACTTTCCTAATGTAAGACCTCCTGTTTCTAAACCTTTCTTCTCCTTTGGTTAAATAACAAGCTACAGGAATGCGTGATTAAAAAGAACCACGTCCACTTAAGTTACACTGAGTGGCCAGATTATGATGATCTCTGACCGCATAACAATCTGGCCGCTCGGTGCATTTGTATCTCCAACGGGTACCAACAGTATTCTAGACTATCAGCCAGTGCAAAGCGGAAAACTGATCAGGTGCACGATTTATAGTATCTTTGATATCAAATAAGTGAGGTACTCCAGGGAAGCACACTGAGCGGCCAGTTTACTACGGTTCAGAGACCATCGCCTGGTATTTGCCATGCCACGCCGAACGCGGGAGATCTATAATGAAAGAATCTGTTTCCTCCACTTGGGAGTTGTTTCTGTTTTAGCATGGGGGGGTGGGAGGAGCCACCCAACTTCATCTGCGGCTAAGCCCAACGAAATCCACAAAAAGGATGAGTGAGGAAAGCGTTACCTTGGAAAGCGGGTCCTGGCTGGGTAAACAGAACGCCACAGGAGGGGGAATTGCCCCACAGCCCGGCCACCGCGTCTCCCAGCGCAGGCTTTCCCCGCAGCCGGTTCACTCCCGGGCTCCCGCTCCCCCTCAGCGACCCCGGCTTCCGTCCCCCGAGCACGGTACCTGGAATCGGGCTGCGTCCGCCGAGAAGCGCCTCACGTCGAACTTGGCCCCAGCACCGAGCCGGCGGAAGAGATCGTGCGCGTCCATCTTTACCCAGAAAGCTCTGCGGCCCCACAGCGCCTGCGCAGAAGCCTTCTCCCAGGAGGCCTTGGGCTAGACCGTGGGTGGGCGTGGCCCTGGGCGAGGGGCGGGGCCTGGCCGGAGCGAGCGACTCGGTTGTTGTGTGTGTCCTAGAGTCCACCGCTATTCATCTGTTTTTTTCAAAAAACATATTTATTAAGAGCCTCTCCTGCAGTACACTGATCTAGACTTTTTAGGGATACTTTGGCGAACCACTTCAAGTTTCTTACTTCAGGAGGATCCAAGTTTTATTTTTATTTATTTATTTAATCAATCTTTATTGTTCATAGTATTACAAAGGTTCCTCATTTCTTCCCCCCTCCACCAGGTTCCCACCCCACCCTCCGCCCCCTCCCCATCCCCCATTGTCCTCATCCATAGGTGCACAGTTTATGTTCAGTCTCTAGGAGGATCCAAATTTTAGTGGGAACAGAAGATATTAACAAATAAGGAAGATAATTTCCGAAAGTAAGAAGTGCTATTGAAACAAATAAAGCAGTGTCCCTGAGAGAGAAAGGGAAAGGGGAGCTACGTGTAGGTATATTATTCAGGTTCGTAATGATGGGGTGATATCGGAGTGAAGAGCAGGCAGCCTTTCCCAGGTCTGGGCAACAGCATCCCAGACGGAGCAAACACAGGTGTGCGGAAGGGAAAGGTTGGAGCAATGAAGACATGGAAGGAAGGCCAGGGCGACTGGAGAAAAATCGCAGGGAGCGAGTGTGGCTCTGATAAGGTTGGAGGGACAAAAAGAAACCAGATCTCATAGAATCTTACAACACGGTCAGAGGAAGGAATTTGGATTTTAATCTAAACAGCCTGGGAAACTGTCAAAATGTTTTGCTGAGAGAGCAACTCAGTAAAACTCAGGTAGCAAAAGATTTAGCTTATTGAATTTATTTTTTTTTCATTGCATATGTGCTGTACAAAATTATTTACGTGTGCATTACCTCTCCCCTTCTAGAATGAAAGACCATAAGCTCAGGGGTCTAACATCCTTCGATACTGTATCCCCATCTCCAGTGTTCTCTCAATAAGTATTTGATGAATGAATGAGCAAATGTTTTATAAAAGATTACTCTGGCTATTTGGAGAATGGACAATAGGAAGGGTAAGAATGGAAACAAGGAGGCCAATCAAAGTAGAAATTGTGATGGTGCTTTGGATTAGGGTGGTATCTCTGCCAATGAAGTTAAATGGGTAGATTTTTTTAAATATATATTTTATTGATTTTGTACAGAGAGGAAGGGAGAGAGATAGAGAGTTAGAAACATCGATGAGAGAGAGTCATCGATCAGCTGCCTCTTGCACATCCCCTATTGGGGATATGCCCGCAACCAAGGTACATGCCCTTGACCGGAATCGAATCTGGGACCTTTCAGTCCCCAAGCCGACGCTCTATCCATTGAGCCAAACCAGTTTCGGCTAAATGGGTAGATTTGAGATGTATTTTGGAGGTAGAGCTAAATGCACCTAATGCATTTCCATATAGAGATGGGGTAAAGAGAGCAAAATATCACTCCAAGGTTATTGGCTTGAAACCCTGGGTAGATGGCATGCCATTTACTGAGCTAAGAAAGAATAAGGGAATAATAACCTTTTTGAAAGGATGAGGAATAGGGGTGGGGGAGTGTGGAATCAGTTATTATGTTTTGGATATGTCAAGATACCTACTTGACTTTAAGTAGAGAGAGACATCCAAGTAGATAATTGGATCCATGAGTTTGAAGCTCAAGGAAGAAGGTCAGGTCTGAAGAAATAAATTTAGGAGTCATCAACATATAAATGGTACAATGGAGTCACATCAAACAAGCATTTAACTTATTAAAATCGAATTATACATACCAGCTATATATAACATATTCCACTTGGGTAGGTTACTTCTCTTCTCTAAATTTTAATGTTATCAATCTCATTTCAGGTTTGCTTCTTCTAAATATGGACCTTTGTACATATTTTTCTTTCCTCTTAGAACGTCCTCTTTTTTCTCCATGGCAAAATCCTTATATTCTTCAAAACTCAGTTTATATGTCCTCTCCTCTGCGCAGCTTACCCTGAATGTCCCCTTCTTGACATAGCCAATCTATTTTCTGTAATTTCTCCTACCACTTTGTAAGTACCTCTATTTTAGCACTTTTCCTATTGCATTATATTTATGTTTCCACATCTGTTTTACACCAGATTTTGAGCTTTTGGAGGGATAAGCCTATATCTCATTTATCTTCATATTATGTTTGCCTAGCACGGAGTCTGTTTCAAATTGTAAGCAGTCAATAAATCTTGTGGAATTAATGAAGTGAAATAAAATAAACAAAAACCCCTGAAACTGCCAACCTTGTGGATTTAGGAAAGGATCTGTGCCTTTTGCTTGGCACTCTGTAATGAATTTTGGCTGAGTGAATGAAGTCAGGTGGAAACTATCAGCCTTGTATCATTTCTTACCTTGGTAATATCCAGATGACTCATTAAGGGACCATTTCCTCTTCAGGACAAAACAATTAGAAACTATCGTCAATAAAAGTAGCAAGGAATTGAGTCATGGGTTTGTCTAACTGGAATTTCTCCAAAAACCAGTATGGTCTGATTGGTAGACACACATGGTTTCTCAACTGTAGCAAGTGAGAACACAAAGTCTGTCTAACCCTACAGTGGGAGCTATTTGGGATATTTTGTTGCTGTGAACACAGCGATCACTCCATACCCCCAAAATATGTTTTTGAGAATCGTTCTCTCCTCCACCTTCTGCCCATCATTTAACAAACTCTGTTGTTGTTTGTACAGCATGCTTGGCATAAGCTAGGGTCTAGGGATGTAGGGGGAGGTTATACACAGCCTTTGCTCTCAGGTATCTTAAAGTCTACTATGCACAGAGAGCTCTTTTTTCAAACGAAGCAAGAAAATTCTCTAGGCACCATGGTATAAATTATAGGAGAGTAGGGATTAGTCACTCTGTTGTGGAAGGATGGGCTGGGCTTTGTGGAAAGTTAGGAAAGCTTTGTAGAGGAGAGAAAGCTTGCACGCCCTTAAAAAAAAAGAGAGATGTTGACAAATGAGACAAGACAGATAGAGCTATTCTAAGTAAAGAAAGCAGTAACAATATATATGTAAGAAAGCATGAAAAAAAATTCCGTGGTGTTTGGGATCTACTAGTGATTTTGCAAAGCTGAGAGCAGATGATGTAGCAACAGGTAGAGCTGGACAGCTGGGTAAGGACTACTCCCATACACCTTATGTGTACACCAAAAGTTTGATTTGATCTTGTAGGTCTTAGGCACCATTAAAGGATGTTAAGCCAGTGACATAAACAGTTTTCAATGTAAAAAGATCACTTCAGCAGCAACATGGAAAGGAGGCAAGTCTGGAGATAGAGAGGCCAGAAGAATATTGTGTTAGGCTTGGCCAAAGGAGGAACACACGAGGCCAAAAGTGGTGAAGAACTTAACATACTGGAGAGGTAGACTAGTGAGGAAAGAAGGCAGTAGCAAAAGGGAAGAGGAGAAGGGGGCAGGGCATTGAGGTGGAAAAGTTGACAGGACTCCCTTCCTGACTTGACTGTAGGAAGACAGGGGAGGGGGGGAGGGACCTAAAACAATTTCCAAGTCTCAAACTTAGGTGATTGGGTGAGGGTAGTTCTGTTCATGTAGATGGGGAATATTGGAGAGCTAGGTTTTCATGAGGACAACAGAGTAAGTTGAGTTTCAGATTTTCTGTGGGACATTTGAGTGGAATTTGTAATGATCAATTGAAAATAGGAATTCTTTTTTATTTTGAAAAATAAAAAAGGGAGGTATAAAATTAGAGCTCACAGCTTCAGAGCTAATTAAAATAAAGGGTGATTGGTTATAGATTTTTTTAAACCCAGAAATCCTTCACAGTTAGACAAAAATCTTACTTTTCCTGGGGCTAAGTTTTCAATTTCTCAAAATTCACTAATACTTTATCTAGTACTTTAGAAATCCAAATCCTTTCACTTTGTTCAATGCAGCATTATTTACAATAGCCAAGATATGGAAGCAATCCAAGTGTCCATCAATAGACAAATGGATGGAAACGTTGTGATATGTATTTGAATATTACCCACAAAAAAGAATGGAGCCTTACCATTTGCCACAGCATGGATGGAACTAGAGGATATGCTAATAGTCAGACAAATGTCATGTGATTTCACTTATATGTGGAATCTAAAGAATAAAAGAAACAAAATAGAAAAACTCATACAGTAAACATGTTGATAGTTGCCAAAGGGGAAGTTGAGTGGCTCGGTAAAAAGATGAAGGGATTGCCGAGACCGGTTTGGCTCAATGGATAGAGCGTCGGCTTGGGGACTGAAGGACCCGGGTTCGATTCCTCAAGGGCATGTACCTTGGTTGCGGGCATATCCCCAGTAGGGGGTGTGCAAGAGGCAGTTAATCGATGACTCTCTCTCATCGATGTTTCTAACTCTCTATCTCTCTCCCTTGCTCTCTGTACAAAATCAATAAAATATATTTAAAAAAAAAAGATGAAGGGATTAAGAAGTACAAATTAGAGTTACAAAATAGCCACTGGGATGTAAAGGACAGCATAGAGTATATAGCCAATAATATTGTAATAATTACTATGGTACCAAGTAGGTACTGGAAACACAGGAGGAACACTTTGTATAGTATATGATTATCTAACCACTATGCTGTAAACCAAAACAATAATATTGAATATAAACTATAACTGAAAAATAAAAACAAAAATTCTTATACTTTTGTACATTTTTTTGGCCATCAAGAATCAATAGAGTGCATTTTTCATGCTTTAAGTATAATGCAAAGTAAATGTAACTACTCAGATATTCTTGCAATCAGGACCGATTTCAAGCAATATTTTCAGAACCAAAGCTCACCTCATGGTGGCACTCCGGTATTGTCGGAATGAAAGGCTCTGCAATCAATTTACTAACCTCAGCCTAAGTGGTCAGTCCACATTGAAGTAAAGAG